TATAATTATTTTGTTTTTATTGAAAGCGAAAGGTAAAATTTTCTTTGACTCTAAATTAATTTACATCATAATTTTATTATATGGATTTAACTATCCTTAATTACCTCATAATTCGATCATATGGTATTTGACCCTTTATCTTATTACACATTTTTCATACACTGTAATTGATTCTTAATTGATTGTTATTAATATTAGCATAATTACCTGATTGATTCGGGTATACAATCACCTGTGACTCAATCGAAGATACACGTGACCACAAAAAACTATTCTAATTGTCAAGTATTTTATTTTATTTTATTTTTTATTTTTTTTTATCTTCATTTTTTTTTATACGGTCCTAATGTTTTTCTTTAACTTAAATATTTTTCTACTGTTATTCCTCATACAACGTATCTTGAGTTCCAAATCTCATCATGCAACTGATCCTACCTATAACACCAATCATCTCTACAAAACAAACATGGCGCAGAACAAAACAAAACACGGTGCGGGTAAATTATTTTCGCAATTGTGAAAATAATTCTCCTGCATTACTAGATAATAATAATTTATTAGCCTTATAATTTGTGCCCTAGCCAGCGATACATAAATTCAGAGTACAACCAGGAGTAATTTGCCAGCCTGCAGCCTATTGTTTGAGGTGTTTTTCTTGATTCATCTTATTGTTTACTATATCTGCCAATTATACTATAGATCAAGAATGACACTATTGAATGGCTAGTATTTCAATATAGTCATTTAAGCCCTAATGGCAACTATACGCGTGTACTATAAATAAAAAACAACTAAAAATCAGATTCAATAATTTCTATTTGTAAATAAGGTTAGATCTTTCTACTAATTTACATAACCCCAAATTTCAAATCCAAACAATAAACTTGCTATTATATAGAATAATTGTTTGAACTCCTTACTGCAATGATAGATGCATAAATGAAATTTTGAAATTTTGCTTTTCGGATTTGATCTGTTTGACCATTGAGGTTACTACAGTAACTACTATTGTAGAAATTCATGGATTTGTTTGATACCTCTATATCTACACAAATACAGTAGATTTGTATAGTTTATTGATATCTGTATTCGTACATTGTGTGATTTTAACTAAATTATTCACCTGTTCACCTTTTTTGTAATAATTCCTCAATAAAATTAAATATATACGATTAAGAATTCTATATAAACACGTAACTTTTGAGATAATTAGTTATCTTTAATTTGAAAATACTGTAAACCAAAATGCCTTCTCACGCTGTTCTTATTGTAGTTATTACTGAAGTAAAAAGTAGCCAACTATGTTAACACGGCTTCGCTAAATACAAGCCATCGAATAAAATGTCTTATACTATTCGATGGAAATATTTTTTTCCTATAAACGAACAGCCCCAAATAATCACGACTGGTAACATCGTATGTTTTTCAGGAAAATTTGTAGTTGAAAATTCTGAACAGTGTCTCACCGTAGCATCTGCAAACATTCTTGATGCTGGATATTCAAATCATGAATTTAGTATCGCCAATATTCCTTCATGTATCCCGCACTGTATGCTTTCTGCATTCATTACTTGTACTCCCCAAAAAGTTAATAATTTTATCTATTTCGATATGGAATGTTTGGAATATAATGCTATTACCAGTACATCAAATGTCAAGATAAAGATAACTGTTCTTTACCCATTCCACTCAATAAGATTTCAAAAATATTTGGACCCTTCAGGGTCAAACATTAAATTAAATAACGTTTATTTGATTTCTGGGTTTATCAAATTTTCAACTTCTGGTAATCTCATGATAAAGGCAACCGACATAGATTATATAAGGAAAAACATGAATTCTAATATATTTGAAAGTTTCTCTTCGTTACCCAGTACCTGATCAATTATCGATATTATTGCTAATAATATTGAATCTGCTACTACTTCTACTCAAAAACAGGATCGTTCTTCAATTAAATCTAATACTATTGCTGCTCATAAATCATCTGAAACTCCAATAGTGATTATTGATGATGATACAGAAAGTAATCCAGATGACAAGGAAAAGCAACCTAATCGCAAAGATAATAAAAAAGTTACTAGCATTAAAAGGGTCACAAGAAAAAAAAAAAAACTGAAAATAACTATTAAAATTTAAAAAAGTTTTGATTAAAAACCATTTTTCACGTTAATAAAGTTTCTTTTAGACTTCGATGTCTTCAATAGTTTGAAATAAGAATTGATTTCTCAAATTACTGCTTTTATTGAGCTTATGATACTTTCTATAATTTACATTTGATACACTAATTTTCTCTTTTGCTATTATTACTTAAGAATCGTTAATATTACCCGTCTGCATTATGCACCCTGTGCCTTATTTGTTAATTACAAACGTCATATTTAAACTGATCCTTAAAACATACTCTTAAATTAATCTCACATTTGTGATTTGATCCTTTAACTGATCAAACGGAACCAAGTTAGCTATTGAAGCTAAACCAGGCACCTTATAGTGAACCTGGTAGTATCAATATTATTATTAAAGATTATCTTATTCAGAATCTTGTGTTTTTTATTAAGATTTGTTGACAAGATCAATCTTTTCTATAAATTTTCACACAAATTCAATATCCCAACCATGTTGAGCAAATATTCAATCGAATATTTACAGCTGGTTTCATAAATTCTGCCGAATTTGATAAGCTATTTATCTCAGTATTACGTATATATAAATTACATATAACATTTTTATATATGAAATTTTTAAAAAAAGCCAGTCGAAATATATGTTAGATTAGCAATATAAAATGGTTCGACCAGCTTGTAAAAACATTTAATACTAAGAGCCAAATGAGCCCAATTTGGATAAGCGTTATGTACTATCGAAATGACTAAAATACTGTCACGCGTTTCGCCAAATCACATGTGTTTGTAACAAGGGTGAGCGAAAAAAGATTCAGTGTTCAAACTACCTTGAAAACCCACAATAAAACTCAATATATAACATTGTTAAAAGTGTTTTTTTCAGATTACAGTTCAAAATTTTTCATCACAAAAGCGGATTCATAACAACTACCCATTTTCCTTCGCGAGAACATATATAAAATAACAAAGAAAAAGTTTCTTTTAATGCAACATTTAAAAATGGTTAATTAATAAAAAATTTTCAATTGTAACTTTCTTTTTTGATATTATTTCTACCGTTTTCCATAAAAATTGTCAAAAAAATTTAGTTAGTACACGAGGTGAATCAATTTTGTGTCCTAATAATTTACTAGTAAATTTCTTTAATGATATTGCCGATCATAAAATCTGTTATTAGTGTAATTGTTATTGCATCTCACATGATTTTGATTAATTAGTATATAAAATACCCCAGTACATATGGTCCCTTAGCGTTAGCATTTACTATAATATGAATTCCACTGTCGAAGCTACTGCTGAAATATTGGCCCTCTATTTTCCTATAGTCAGCCCTATAATCAATGTGATAAATAAAATAGCTAAAGAAATTTATCAAATTTATGAGAATGCTGAATGCAATAAAGAAATTTGTCTAATTATAACAAACCGAGTAAAAGTTGCACAATATGCTATCGAAAAGATGGGCAATCTAAGAGATGAAGAAGAAAAAGGATACTATATAGCATTTAAACGATTTGAAAATGTTATGACAAATGTCAAAGAATTTACTGAAAGAGTATCAAAATTTAAAGGCTATAAAAAATATCTTAATGCAAACGAAGTTAAAAATAAATATGAAAAATTAATGAAAGAGTACGATGATTGTATGAGAGATCTACAATTTGTTATCACTATTGACATTGCCGCTAGGAAAGAAGAGTCTCAAAAAGTCGATAAATCTCTAGAAGAAATTGAGGATGTATGTAGAATTATTCTGACCATAATAGAAAATTTATTTAGTTATTTGCTAAATTTTTTTGTTATTTACTTAATACATTTATTATTTTAGACCCTTAAGAATTTCATTCATGATGCTAATCAAAATTTTGATTTATTAAATCAAAGATTGGATAATATACAATCCCAAATAGCTAAACAGCCAAATGATGTGAAAAGTATTAGCCCAAATAAATTGACTGATATACCCCAAAAAGATTCACCTCCAAAAGATGGAGTTGTTAAGCTATATCTTACTCGTACAATTGAAGTTGAATGCAAAGATTTCGAAAAATCC